TGTTCAAGGTGCTGGACAAAACTTAGGGGTTGTTTTGACATCCAATGAATACAGCTTTGCTGAAAATAAGACCATTAACCTAAAACCCAAGTATTCATTTTAATTTATTAGGCTGTGATCCAGTTTTACTGTTTTAAATTTAAACTGCAGGAAATCTTTAGGACTGCAGCAGATGAAGCAAACAAAAGGAAGCAGCAGATTGAAGAGGCTTTTGGACTCAATAATTACAGCAGTGGACTGACTCCACAGAAGGTACTGGACTGTAGGACAGTTATCTTCCCTGCAATAGTCTGCTTCTTTCTGGAAGCAGACTATTGCAGCATCAGTGTGGTTCCTGTGTTCCAGGTTAAAGAGTACAGACAGCTAACAGTTCAGAACCTGCAGATGGCGCTGTTCCACACCAACAAAGAAGAACTTCTGAAGGTACTGTACTGTATGTGGGATAGATGTTAGAAAGAAACTCTGTCCTGTTTGGAACCCAAACAGGACAGAGTTTCATCTGGAGATAAAATTGAACTATTAACAGGTAACAATGAATATTTTCTCTACAGTCTGGTTTCCCTGAACTTGGAGGTCAGTTCTCTGAGCAAGTGATGGCGGATCTGAGACCTCTGACCTCTGAATGCTACTGGCTGAGCTGCTTGATGGCTTTAAACAATCCTCCTCTTCAGCCGGACTGGAAGAACCTCGTTCCCTCGATGGATCCTTGGGACATTTTCCCTAGAAACATCACATCTGCTTCTGTTATGTAGAGGAAAAGTAGTTTTGCAGGACAGTATAATTGGTGTAGTTTGGGTGTGATGGTAATTCCTCTTTTTTTCTGGTTTAATTTCAGTGGTGTTGAAAATCATGAAGCTGTTCCATGCTTGTTTTCAGTTTGCTTCACCAGTTTATTTAAAGGGACAGACAGGGAGGCTGAACTCTGTTGAATAGTTTCAACAGTTTATTAAATTTCTGCATGAAAATACTTTGAATTGGTCTGATGTAATAATTGTTGTGTTTTCAGTAGCTGTAGGAGGAAAATTATCACAATTACTAGAAATAAAGGCTTGAAAATATCAATCCATGTGTAAATTATCTGTCATTCACTTAGTGAACTAAGTTCCAGAAAATCATGTTTTTCAAGAATATTTCAATTTATTCAATATAAGTACAAAACATTTTAGAAATTCTTCTTAAAGATATAAAACATTTAGCAGCTGGTTTGATACATTTAAGACATTTTGAGACTCACTGAATCTGAATATGTCTGGTTACATGGACCGTAGCTCAACATTTACGTTACACAGAGGTAGAACTGCTGAATGTCATCAACGTAAACTTTTATATGTCTGTTGATTCAGTTATTAATTTAAAAAAAAGTTTAACTTAAATCTGTGGTTATTGTTTGAAATACTAATATTTGATTAAAATATAACTAATTACGGTCAATTTATTACCAAGCTGCTAATTACATTTTTTACAGAATGTTTTACCACTACTTATTTTTACCTGTCAAATCTGTCTGAATGGTAAACGTCTTTGTCAGCTTAAGTTGCACATTTACAAGGAATGCAATGAATATATTTTGAAAATATGTAGGACAAGCCAGATTAAAAATTCAATTCAAAGTTTAATGATTGATTGACTTAATAACAGAAATGGTTTTGGATTGAGAAGAGAGCCCATACAGGCTAATGGTGCTAACGGTGCCACTACATCACTCATAATCACTCAAATAAAATATATTGTTAAGTTAAGGCACTAACCAAACATGCAAACAGAAAAGGCAATTCTGAAAGATGAATATTTTATATGATTATGACAAACATTATGCAATAATCTAACTTGCTACTGTTTTACTAAATAAAACTTAATATCTGTTTAACCTTCTCAGCAACTCAGCTGCAGACTGCTTCATAGATCAAAAAAGCTCAGAGGGGCTAAAAACAGTTTTTCTAAGGTACCAATACTGAGAGATTTAGTTTTATAATGTTGAGAGACAAATCATATTCATGAGATCTTGTCCTTCTTATTAAGATTTAGAGAAACTCATCTATGCATTTATCTTTATTGCATTGATTATTGCAATAACGTCTCATTCTCACTAGAACTAGGAAGATAAAGCACATCACTCCCTGTTCCTGTCGCTGTCAGTCTGACTTTGCTCAAGAAGTAACTTAAACATAAAAGCTGCTGTTGATTCTCAGACACCTTACATAACAGGTTTCACAGCTTCAGGAAAAACACTTTTGGCCCCAGTCCCAGTTACATTATTCACATTATTCACTGCATAAAGTATCTTTCTGTTTAGGTGATTATTGATCAAAAGAGAGAATGAAACTCATAATCAAGATCTATAGTCAGATTTTTTCATCTTTTTACTTTTGAAGAGGAAGTTGGTTAAATTTTTGATTAATAAAATTAACTCTTTTTCATTAAAGGAAGTTTTCTTCTCACAGCTATTTAGTGAACTTTACAAGCAGTCAAAATGATGCTCTTTATTATTCAGCTTCATAAAAATATATACATTTCAGTTGATCATTTTCGATCGTTCTCCATCAGGGCAATTTTGGAAAAGTTTATCCTGAATGTGTAAATACAAAGTAACTACAAAAGAAGTTCAGCTGATTTCTACTTAAGCAATCAGGATTTTCATGTCTTAGACAACTAAAACTCTTTATCAGCATTTTGAAATAATTCCCTTTGACTGCATGTTTAACATTAAATTAACATTTGTACAATAATAACACAATAATTATCCATTGCACTGCAACCGTGTGTCTTCTGTCCAGACTAATTTTCTCTAAGTGTTTGTTATGTTTTATGCATAAGCATAAGGAAATAGATAAACACATAAACCAAAGATATGTTGTTTGGTTGATCTTTTCAACCAAACAACAACAAAATTATAGTTCATTACAGGGACTATTTTTACTTACTTAAGTCACTGTATAGCACTTTAAAAGCACTTTTTGCACTTTATTAACAAGCAATTTATTTAGCACTGCACTTTAAGCAGAGATTTGCAAATAACAATTTGCTCACAAGAAGTTTTAGCTGTATTTATTGAGTATTTTTAGTAATTAGCATGTAGCCTTTTGTTCTGGGCTCTGCACAGCTGCTCCTCATTGAGAAGTGAGCTGGTTGCCTGTGAAAGGAGAATAATTGTTACTCAGAGCAATGAGCTACTGGTGGGTAAAACTGAGCAAATGTTTGTGCATAATCTGTTAGGTGTGGAGTGCTGATATTAAGTGACTCACCTGTCTTTTCTGTGTCCTCTCCAGGGTGTTTGGACAAATACTACCCCAGACACCATTTATAGGTTCCGGGAGAGGCCGTGGAAAAGTGTGGGGAGAGAATTGTTTATGGGTTTTTGTGGTGTTTCATTTGGTGTGTGATAAAATATAAAATATTTATAAAAAGTAAGTGGAAATGTTTGTATATAGTAAAAGGTATTTTATTTAAATATGTGGAGATTAGCAAATTGAGATCCCCCTGTGAATTAAAGGTGGCTTGGTCCATCACAGCTAGGACTAAGGTTATGAAATCGTTCTTGTTCTTCTACTTGATGCTGAGGGAAGAATAAACCACTGCTGTTTCCACCTGACTCTGGCTCAACTTTTCATCCTCACTGTAAAATCGAGCCACAAAAGGCTGCCTTGTTACACTTCCTCAGAAAATGGTCACTCCCAAACGTCCTTAAGCTTTAATTAAAAAACAACACCCACATATTTTCCAGGAGGCAAGAAACAAAACTGAAAGATGCTGCTTGGTGTGTCATAGTCAACGTCAATCTTTTTTTACAGAACTTAAAAACATGTTTGTATTAGTGATCTAAAGAATGCCCCTCTTTTCTTGTCATAGTTAAATGAGAATGAGCTAAATTATTTTGACTCATGTAATGTCTAATGTTTCTGCAAAAGGATGAGGAACCCAAACCCAGCTGGAACTGCTGCAGCATGGAGCTTTGGATCAGTTTCATTGGTGGAGGAAAATGCATTTTGTCCTGTAAACCACTAAAAAAAAACATGAACAACAACATTGCTTTTTGAAAACATACAATATGTTGTCTGCCAATAAATTGCCTTTACTCTTTTACAGTAAAACTATTTTTAAAATATTAAATCCTGTTTTTCACGGGACAGATTAAGGTATATTTTTATTTTTTTAAATAACTTTTCACAATTTAATTTAAACAATACACAGTTAAAAATTAAAAATAAGTAGACGCTGCAAATATTCTAAACATTTATTCAGCAATTTGGAGCTTCGTGTCTGAAGGAAAAGGTTTCAAACAATAAAGATCAAAGCTGCTGTCATAAAATGAAAGATCTTCATGGTGAGAAGCATCTCGCCTTAATTGCTTCCTGTTTGAATGAAGTTTCTTTTGTGCTTTATAACCTGTTTTTACTGACTAAAGGGCATGTCAGAAAAATATGAGGGTGTGGTTTGAATTTATTTTGTTTTTCTCGCCCTCCCATAAAGCTGGTCTACACTCGAACCCTGCAAATATGCAGTTGGTCTTAAAATTAGAGGGATGGATTTAAGGAAGCAAGATTTTTATATGTTTCTCATTAAATACAAAATGATCATCAATGAATGTTGTAGCCATGAACTTTCCAGAGAAGGCAGGGCGACTTTTTTAGTTTTTTAAAATTAAGACAGTGTGACATCTTGTGGTGCTGTGAACAGTGGGAATGGCTCCATTTTCAGATTAAACCAAAACAGATTCTGCATGAGGAAAAGGATTCATCATATCTAGAATAAAGATTTTATTGCTAATTTTGTGTAAATTGTTACATGTTTTAGAACCTGTTCCAAAACTGAGATTTTTTTGTATCTATAAAAAGTTGGATGTTGTTTTCTCCCACAGTTTTAAAACTTGATCTGTTGAATTATTTTGTTTAACTCAGTAGCACATCTTCTTGGTGCAGTGCTGAAGTCTGAAACTGTGATGAATGAGTCACACATTCCAGAAACCAGTAAGTCCTGATGACAAGTAAAAAGTAAAAGAGATACTAAACTTCATCAGAAAGCACTTGTGTTTTCTACGTATCGACGCCGCAGACAGACTGATGTAGACGGACAGATCAGAACAGAGAGAAGTCATAATGGGGAACAGGTAAGAGAAATATCTTTACAGTAGTATTTTAGTGATATTAAACCTGTTTACTTAAAATTGTGTTACTGAATAACTAGTATGTAATCAGATGAGAAAAGGGCTGATCAGTTCTACCTCAGTGTGCATGTAGGATTTACTGGATCATAACACCCAAAAGATAAAACGTATTTAAATATTTTAACTGTAAGTCAACAGAGAATGACTTAGAGTTAAATTATTAGTTGCTAAATTATTAGTTTCATTAATTTTTATGAAGATGTGAGATAAATCAAAGTTGTATTTATGCAGATCTGCACAACAGGGACCTCTGTTGTTCAGATGGATGAAAGGTTGCAGATGAATAATAATAATCAGATTATGTTGGGGACTCTAGTTTTTCCTGCACTACAAGGAAGTGTGACATGTTTAGTTGTCATGTCTCATTTCAGCTACAACATTATTGCACAGGAACCAAGAAACTCCTACTGAGAAATGAAATTATGTTACTTTGGTCTTCTACATGATTATCATTATTAATTGGGACTCTGATTCCAAGGTTCTCATTCTTCATGCACAACTTCTTGGCCCTTTGCACCTTTAACATGAGAACAAAAAGTGAAACTTCCTCACCATTTAATTAAGGGATGTGAGTAACATGACAGCAGTGCTCCCTTTAATAAGTGTCACTAAAAATACAAAACTGTGAAAGAAAAAACAAAATAAAACAAACAAAAAGACGATTTTCTCAATCTTTGCTTTTTGGTCACAATTAATTATTTTTTAAATTTTTAAATTATGAGACACAGAAAACCTGAGTAATAACAAAAATACATAAGATAAAATTAATTGATTTTTCAAGGAAAAAAAGTGTACAAAGCAGCAGCTATGCAAAAAGAAAATAATTTTTCTCCCTTGTTAGAACATGAATCAGTTGTGATTTACCAGGTTTTTAGAAATCTGAGTTCAGTTTGACCAGAAACACCGAACCAGGAAACCATTTAAAATATAAGCTGTGCCTCAATCTACAGAAATTATTCACAAAAGGATAACAGACAGTCGTTTACATCTGTTACTTACAAAGTGATTTATTTGGTTTTCAGATTTTACTACAACCACAATATGAGTCATTATCCACTAATGAATAAACGAAGCAACAAGAGTTACTGGCATGATACAATTATACCAAGAGCAAATAGATAACGAATAGAGGAGGTTACAAAAAGCACATAAGAACAACTGAAGTGCTGGAGGCCACATTTACCTCTGTAAAGGTCAAAGTTCACGACTCTAATGTGCAAAAAAAGATGAGACAAAATGACATAAATGGGAGGATTAATGGGGGAAAACAAAAGCTGACTAAAAACATTCACTTACAAATGTCTTAAAATATCTCAAAATATTAAAATATAATCATCTTTGTGAAAGATGTGTCTCATTGCATCTGGGATAAAACAAGCAAAGCATTTGATTAAAAACAACATGATACCAACAATAAAATATAATGGTGAAGCCGTGAGGGCCTGGGTTTCTGGACAACCTGCTGCTTCCCACAAAATAGACCAACATAAGGACAGAATCAAGATTTTTGGAAGTGATGCATGCAAAATCTATAGAAAGTTTTTGTAATGCACTGGATTGACAAAATTAACAGCTTGAAAATAACACAGATTTATACATTTGTATGTCTGCTTTAGAATTATGTTTTATGCTAAATCTATTCATTTTTTCCTCTATAGGCTGTGTAAGGAAACGTCGGAAAAGCCAAAAAAGTCAACAAAGCCGAAAAAGCCGAAAAAATCGAAAAAATCGAAACGATCTCAAAAAGTTGAGGAAGACAGAATAAGGTAAGCTGAAGACTCCAGATGCTGAGTGGTCACCTTAATTGTTTAAGTTGTGTAAAAAATCCTTTTGAAAATTACATAATATACCATGCAATGAAAAAGTGTTTGTCCACGTAGATGTTTCATCTTTTTTTTCTTTTATGTCACACTGAAATGTTTCATATCATTAAATAACATTATTATTGAATAAAGACCTGAGTAAATATAAAACGGAAATGGAAAATTATTATTTCATTCATTAAACAAAAAAGATATTAATTCCAATCTGGTCCTTTGGCTGCCCCCAATAAAACCATAAACTATATGTGATTAAACTATTTTTTTCAGAAAGTTTAGCTCAGCTTCACATGGCATAGAGAGAACATCTCTAAGGACCAAATGATCTGAAAAAGTTACAAATCATCTAAAAAACACAATCAGTAGAAAACATCTTTCAGGAGACAAACAGAGTTTTTATGGCATTGAATTTATCAATGTTTAACTCCAGGATGCAATATAAACTTATAGTTCTGTTCTAAAGTCTGGTAAAATAGTGAAGAATGCAACAAAAAGGCAATTTGGTAAAATGCAGTGAAACAGTCAGGTGTCACTGCATTCTGCATTTTTTGTGAAGAAAATTATTTCTCAACAAATAAAATTCCCATTAAAAATGCTTAAAATGTTAAAGGGAAAGAAGGAATGGAGGGTTAGGAGGCACAGGTGAAAATGTTGTTTTACCACAAATTGGACTATTTAGAGTTGTGGAAGTGAAGAGAATGTGAGATGGTAAAGTTCATGTAGGGCTGGACGAGGACACAAAATTGGCATTGTTCATTCATGGTCCATTATTGGAGAAATGAAGACTTTACTACATTTTCATACATGTTTCAAATTTTCATAATTTCAAATTGGTGGGATTAAAGTCTTTTGCTACTATAGTAATACTTTTATAATGGTGGAAATGTTCATCCTGTGATTTTTTGACAGTCTTAGGTCTTCTGGTGAAAATGAACTTCAGCAGACAAAGTAAGTTGTTCAATCAATCTATAATCTCATAACAATGTGATTGGAAATTAATTGACCAGAATATATAACATACATTTAAGTTTTAAGTGCAATACCAGTACTTCAGGATATGTACTATTTGTCTCACATTAGAAATATTCACACATTTTATTCTTCACTCTTTAGAGCTGCCCTCGAACAAAAAGAAAAGGAGCTTGAATCAGTTAATAAAAGGTATTTTTCACACAACAAGCTAACAGAACATGTTTCAGCCTCAGATATTAGGATGCCAAGTGTAACATTTATTCTAACTTTGCTTATTTAATCATCATAAAAGAAGTTTAATGTAATACAAGGTGTCTGATGTTTCTGCTGAATCTATTTATGAAGAACATATTCTGTTATGTCTTTAACTCAGACTGTCTGAGACAGAAACAACTCATGAAAAGAAGATCCAGGAGATCAAGTCAGTATTATTCAGTGTCTTCAATGATTTTATTACTTAAAACATAGACCTCTGTTCCTCAATGTTCATATAAAATTTAGCTGAGATGACATTTAATACAATTATTTCTCAATATTTTAATTGTTAATTTTCACCTCTGCAGAGAAACTTTAGAAGAAAAGGAAAAAGAAGTGGAAGCAGCCAATGAAAGGTAATTCTAGGAAGCTACAAAAGATATTGGTAAAAAAAAATTACTTCTGACTTTCTAAATTCATCTTAAATTAAAATAGTCTTAATTTTACTTCTGAAATTCTGAAGCACACTAGAATCCTGTTGAACTTCTGCAGTTTGTATGTGTTATAAGTTTGTATCTGTCATATTTTAAAACAGATTGACGGAGACAAAATCATCCCATGAAAATGAGCTCCAGGCGATGAGGTATTTTTGTTTTTACATGGGACCATGACTGGAATATATTTACTGATCATAGAGTTTAAGTTTACATGATCGTAAAACTCTTGCGGTTTTATATAAACCTTATATAACTTAATCACATTTCCTTTTGAAATATGCCTTCTTTCAGTTGAGGTTGGGTTGAAATAAACATGCAGTATACTTAAGCACTTTGTAGTTTCGTCAATTGACAAAATGGCACTTGTGATTTATAATTTGTCTCAAAATAATGATAAAAGATTTTCACTCATTCTATTCATCGTTCAGATCTGAACTTAAACAAAAACAAGATGAACTGGACTCAGCCAATCAAAGGTATTGTTCCCACAATCTGCGATAACAAATTATGATCCAAGTAAAGATTTCTGAGAGTCTCAGTTCTATGATTTCACTCCCCAAACTATTCTGGTATCTTTACTGCAGACTGACTGAAATGAAGACGTCGCATGAGAAGGAGCTTCATGAGATTAGGTACGTATCCATATTGTCAATATGATGTCATCACAGAGTCAATACCTTAATAGTAAATTATTCACTGACGCATCTCCTTTACACATGATGTCCTCATTTATAGATCTGATCTTAGAAAAAATGAAGAGGAACTGAAATCAGTCAAACAAAGGTACGGCACAAATGTAGCATATTTCCAGCATAAACATATGTATAACAGCATAAATAAGATATAGTTCAGGGATTCGACTGAAGGACAACCTTAATGAATCTATTCATAGATAATGTCACCCTGTTCACATAAAAGTTAATAATTTTGCAGAATCTATTGTGAAGAGTTTTTGAATGCTATATTTTTAACACAGATTGACTCAAACACAGACCTTGCATGAAAGTGACCTCGAACAAATCAGGTTAGTGTTTTGTGAGTCAGCTTTCTGATGAGCCCAATACTAAATCACCAAATTAACAATGTTAATTGTTGAATGTTGAGCAAAGTTATGATCTTTAGATGTGTAATGTCCATGGATTTGGTTCTTAACATTTCACATGGAAATTAGCCATTAGTGAGATTTACAAACACTTGTGACCCCAACTATAAGTGCAACTTGTTAAGACACTGATTACTTTGCTGTGAGTGCTCACAGTCATCTCCAACAGAGAGGATAGTTTCTTGCTTAAAACAGTAGATGCTAATTCCTGATCTTTCTGAAGCCTTCTGTTGGCATCTTCAGGAAAGCTCATAGAAAACTATCTGGTTTATTATTTCCTCCTATTTATCAGAAATTGAATAATGGCTGTTTTTATGAAATTGTGTACCGTATTTTCCGCACTATAAGGCGCACCTTCAACGAATGGCCTATCTAAACAGATAGTGTTGTTGCGCAGCACCCCCTCCCCTCTTCTCTCTCTCTCTCTACTTCCCTTCTCAGAGGAGGGAGATGTGCTACCAGCTCTCCGTCTAACGGGTGAATTGAGTTTCCTAAGTCTGCTGGGATTTACCCTATCCAGAACTGAAGTAAATTCTGCTCAAGCTGGCATCGAGAAAGACTAGCCTGGTTTCTAATGACCTCCATCCAGATGTCCCACCCTTTTTCACCCTGTGAATTAGCCAGATAGAGCAGCCCGCAACCAACTAGTTTCACAGAGCACACCTGTTAACGGTCGCTCTTTCTCTTTATTACAACTTGCACTTGTTACTGAACCAGGTAGGTTTTAGTGACTCTGGTGAGTCCCAAGGGTGTTGTTTAGGCTAAAGCAACCTATAAAACATTTTCCACTTTCTCCTCCCAGAATCAAACTTCATAGCTGCTTTATGACCATCAAAGAACTTTAAGGTGACTCATTAACTGAATGTCCACATCTTTTAGATTTTCTTGATGCTAATTATTTTATTAGTAAGGCAATTTTGCAAGGGTCAGTACAGCTTAAATCAGTAACAGAGATAATCAAACAAGTAAAATCAATAATCTAGCCTATCTTTCCCTAATGCTGACACTGTGAACTAAAAAAGGGAAACTTTGAGAGAAACAGACGGAGTTTGGCATCTTGAACCCCAGAACTGGCCTGATGATGAAAAAGGTGTTGCAGCAGCAGGAGGCTCCCAGTACAGGAAGAGTACTGAGTCAGAGCGGCAGATCTCGGGCCTCAGGGTGACTTCCTCATGCGCGTAGCGGTCCTCAGCTTCTTGTCTTGCAGCTCTGTAGCTCCTTTCTCCTCGTCTCACGATCTTTCTGGTCCTTGGAGATGTAGATGAGCTGGTCTCATGGAAGGAACACACCAGTTCTTCCTCTTTGCCTTTGTTCTTTGCCTTTGTCTTTATCTTCATCTTTGCCTTGGTCTTTGTCTTTGGGGTCTCGAACCCAGCTGAGAAAAGTGCAATTTGAAGCCACATGTTGCGGGGCTAACGGGTTGGTCCCCATGTGCAGAACAGTCTTCGGCTCTGTGGCTCCGGCTCTTCTTCAGCTGCAGAGTTCTTTGTCCATCTCGATCTTGGCTCGAAGCTGCCTGAAGGATCCAACCAAAGATTCCTCTTTTGCACTCACCTTATAAAGGGTTTATCCACCCTTTTGGTGCATTTGCATTGGCTAGCTTTGTTGCTGTGCCTCTCATTGGCCGACTACTTGGACAGATGATCTCATATCCATCACCGTCTTGGAGACATTATGACCTGATCTCTGTTCTAATGACCCCCGAGTTGCTCAACAGTCCTCCTATGTCTGTTGCCAGGACACAATAACAACCAGATTAATATTATTACAGTCTGACTCTACTGTTGGGTCTTGATGTCACCTGTGTAATTAATCAGTTTTAAAGGTAACTTTATTCATTGTTTTTATTAAACTAAAATCTCCAGCATGGGGAAGTGGGATGAGCTCCTTTTCTCAACAATAGGTCAGTCAAACGTTATTAACTCAAACTTTATTAACTCAAACTTTATTAACTCAAACTTTATTAACTCAAACTTTATTAACAAACCAGCGTTCTGACAACTATCCCAGCATGCACCACGCGCTTCTTCTTCTACGGGCAAAAATGAAGTCGGCGGCTGCTTACCTGTTGCTAGACCTGTTGTGGCTCAATATTGGTCCATATATAAGGCGCACTGGATTATAAGGTGCACGGTCGGCTTTTGAGGAAATTGAAGGTTTTTAGATGCTCCTTATAGTGTGGAAAATACGGTACTTTCCTGTTCTGACCCAGTGTAGCTGTTTGGAACAAACCGATCTCTAACCAATGCCTTAGGTAGATTTTACAACAAAAACATTTGAACAAATCTTAAAGGAGAACCTTGCTTTTACTGGTCGTTGAACAGTTTCTGTAGTCATATGTTTGAAACCTATTTATTGGCTCCATTTGTGAAGTGTTTCGAGTGAAAGTGCAGTAAGTGTGAGGATTTAGTTGTTAACCATGAACAGGTGGATTGCTCCTGTAGTACACGGGTGAGATCATATCTCAAACTGAACAGTTTGAACATCTTGAACAGTGAAGGAGAGGTTTATGCATCTGGTTTCCTTCTTATTGTCAGTTTTTACTGTCTTGACATGGTACCAGATAAGTTACAGATGGGACTCCAAATAGGGAATTCAACTTCTGATTGTAGGCGCAAGGAAGTAACCTGTATTAAATGTCAAAATGTACCGACTTTGTTTTAATTAATACATAGCATTTACATATAAATTTATGGTGAAAACTTTTTTGTCACAGATCTGCCCTGGAGCAGACAGGAAATGAACTAAAAGCAGCTGATCAAAGGTACGTCAATAAAATACAGATGAAGATATTACAATTCATAGTTTTACAACTGTTGGCTGGTTGGTTAACATTAAGAAAAAGCATTGAAAAAAATACATGTGTGATGTGTTTTCATGTCATATTTTCAACAGACTTAATGAAACAAAAACGTCATATGAAAACAAACTTCTTCAGGCAGGGTGTGTAAAGGTCATGAATCCAACATTCGTTTCTGCTGGAAACTTATAATATCTACTAAAATTTGACATAGACAGCATGAGTTCATGGAAAGATTTATGAAGTGGATATTCAACCTTTAGCTTAAAATAACACTGTTGTCTTTGACATATCTCCCTTAACTCTTTACAGATCTGAGTTGAAGCAAAAAGAAGAACTGAATTCAGCTCTTCAAAAGTATGGCTCAAAAACCTAACATAATAGAGTATAAAATAGTTTAATTCAGAATGTTTAAGTACACCTGATAGTTTGTTTCTGAAGTGGAATTTGAAAACACAAATTTGAAGTTTATTTTTATCTTTTATGTTTTACATAGGCTGATTGAAGCAAAGACGTCTGATGAAAATAAACTTCAAAGTGCGAGGTAAACCTTTTCTAAAAAGGGTAACTTCAGAATAAAAGATTGATCAAGTCTTTTAGCATGTGAATGAGTTAGATATGTGCTATTTTTCTGTATTCACAGCATTTTAACTTGCAGGCTAGTCAGGAAATGAGAAGTACATCTGATGTCAGCCAGTCAAAGATACTTTGATGTTGCAGTTTATAATACATTAGGGTTCAACTCATCGTTCTTCCAGTTTGACATGTGGAAAGTTTAATAGTTTCGATGACCTGGAAATAGTTAAAAAAATAATGCAACTCAGCAGTTTTTTCCTTTGATTAGAAAGTCAGTCTGTTATAAATTTCTCTGTTTTAACAGCCTGCCTGAAATACAGAGTAATTATGTAGCTGAGCTCCAGCAGACGAGGTACGATTTGTTTCTGTATCTATTTTAGCTTTGAATAATGACTGAAGAACATTTTATTTAATGAACATTGATCAAAAGAACACATTTTTATTATTTCTTTTTAAAAACATGTTATAAAGCATTAGAAGAATCTACATTAGTAAATAAAAGGCATTGCAGTTAACATTATTAATCTGCATGTCAGTATTTTTTGAGTTACTTGTGTTTATTAAAAATAAAACATTGACAGTAACAATAAACTAGATGGCAATTTGCTAATGATGTTAATTTGAAAAGAAAAAAAATAATGGTTGAATCAAAGATTTACTCTTATTTCCACACAGCCTCATTGCTGAAAAAATGTCTCTGGAAGCAGATCTTTATGATGTGAGGTAAAATCTACCTAACTAAACACAATGATGAAGCACAAACTTTTTCTTGATTTGATGAAGAAACTCGGAACATTCTGATTTATTTACTGACATGTTTCTAATGCAAATAATTTCACCCTTTATAGATCTGCTCTAAAACAGAAAGAAGAAGAACTGATATCAGTCAATGAAAGGTATTTTCTTCTCACAAAAACCTGAAATAACAAATTACAATATGAGATACAAACCTGATTGTTTCAGTTCATTTTACCGCAGAATCAATAAGAATATTTATCTATTGCCTCTTTATCACAGGCTGAACAATGAGCTCCAGACAGTCAGGTATTTTTCTACATATTTATTTTACTTGGACAATAACTAGAATGTATGGTTTTGGGTTGCAGTAAACAAACACATTGAGGATTTTCAGAAATTGTATTCTACATTCTCAGATCTTTGCTCAAAAATAAAGAAGAACTAGAATCAGCTAATAAAAGGTTTGTTCACACAACAATATAATGTTCTTGTTAAATCTGTGTCATGAAGATCATGATCTGTTATGTCTTTAACTCAGACTGACTGAGGAAAAGACTGTTCATGACAATGAGATCCAGAAGATCAGGTCAGTTTTCAGAGTCTGTATTTACAGGAGAGTTAAAGTGAGTTATTACTTTAAATGTCAATTAAACTTCCTAAAGGTTCAAAAATAATTTGTTAAAATGACATTTGGTCTCATAGTTTCTCCAACAATGTTTTAATGGTTAATATTCTCCTCTACAGGTCAACTTTAGGAGAAAAAGAAAAAGAATTGAAATCAGCCAATAAAAAGTAAAGAACACATCATATTCTACAATATTTTATTTCTTACTTTCTACATATTTAGGTATTTCATACATTTATTTTCGTAGAAATGTATGAAACACACTATAATGTTGTTCCTGCAGTATTTGTATCATGAGATTTAATCTGTCATGTTTTAAAATAGATTGACTGAAGCAAAAACATCCCATGATGATCAGCTCCAGAAAATGAGGTATTTTCTCTGTTTTTACATGAAATATATGAAAACACAGATATTTGTCTCAAAATGAGACAGCCATTTTTTCACATTTTATTGTTTTCATTCTACAGATCTGATCTTCAACAAAAAGAAGAAGAACTAAAATCAGTTAATAAAAGGTATTGTTCACACAAGTTAACAGAACATGTTTCAGCTCCAGATATCAGGGCGATAAATGTAAAAGTTCATCAAACAGTTTGTTTGTTTAGTGAAGATGAAAGAAGTTCAATGCTTTGAAAGATCTCTGATGTTCCTGCTGAATCTGTTTTATGAAGAAAATGATCTGTTATGTCTTTAACTCAGACTGACTGAGGAAAAGACTGTTCATGAGAAGGAGATCCAGGAGATCAGGTCAGTGTTGTTCAGGGTCTGTGTTTACATGAGACACTTATTTGAATGAGTTACTATTTATAATGATAATTCCAGTTTCTGAAGGTTCATATGAACTTTAGCTAAAATGATGTATAATTGTATTATTTCTCCAAATATGCTTTAATAGCTCATTTTCTCTTCTACAGATCTGTTTTAGAAGAAAAAGAAAAACAATTGAAATCAACCAGTGAAAGGTAAAGCAAAACATGAAAACATCACTGTTTAAATTATTTTAATAATATAAAAATCATGCTACTATTTTAGGTTTATTAGAAAATTATAAAACTTACTGCAATGCCAGGATGTTCCTGCAACACTTGTATGATGAGGAGTTTTTATCTGCCATATTTAAAACAGACTTACTGAGACAAAACATCACATAATAATGATATTGAGAATTTGTTGCATTTTTCTCTGTTTTTAAATGACAATGTCTAGAATATATGTGCTAATCATTGGCTATAGTAGAAACATTAGTGATGTTTACATCACAGTATCGAAGCTCTTGAGATCATTTACATTCTTCAATATCTTTCTCATATTTCCTTTGCAACAGAAGAAAGGAAAAAGTTATGTTCACACACTGAATGAATCCATTACACTTTAAATATTTAAGTATCTCCACCACAGATTGACCAAAACAAAGGCATCACTTGAAAATGAGCTTCATCAAGTCAAGTAAGTGTTTTTCATTCTACCCAATTGCATGGATGAAACTGAAATGTGGAGGAGAGTTTGGAGTATTTACATGATGCTGGAGTCCAAAGATTTATGTGGATCTTTGGACAGAACCACCTTGGAGTTGGACTTCTTGTCAGAGAAGTTCTTGTGTTTTTATTGTGGTGATATAGGTTACTCTGCCTTATTCTACTGTTGGGTCACAGTAGACATGTAGTGTATGAAAGCACAATGTAACTTTGTTAAATGTCCTTTATAAATAAATCACTACTACTGGTCTCAAAACAAAAGATTTTCACAGATCTTATTCTTCATTCTTCAGATCCGACCTTAAACAAAAAGACGACGAACTGAAGTTAGTTTGTGAAAGGTACTCATTATTGTTCAATATCATTTTTTTCTGAGTTTCCAGGTTCACTTGATGATGAATTAATTAGACAGACACGTAAAATATAGAAAACAATTTAAAAAGCTTTGTAAATATCATAATATTTTTTATTTCTGTTTGTTCAAGGTTACATTAAAATGTTCTTTTTAGTTGTTTTTATCAAGTTAAACATATTGCATCTTCATTGTTTTCACCTCAGAATCTGTGTTAGAAATGAAACATTTCTACTTTGTTTTAACAGACTGGCTGAAAAAGAGGCTGCTTATGAAAATGAGCTCCATGAGATGAAGTTTGTATTTTTATAATTATTCTCTTGAAACAGTGTTCAGACAATATATTTACTTATCACATGTTGTAGAAACACAATTGCTCATTATTGAAACATTTTTAAAAATTAGCACAAAAAAAAACTATGAGGCTATGGAGCTTTTATTGAAATGTTTAAAACATATCAGGAGGTTTTCTCACTTTTCTATTCAATTTCCAGATCTGCTTTAATAGAAAACGAAGAACTAAAATCAGTGAATAAAAGGTATTGTTCACACAACACGCTAACAGAACATGCTTCAGCTCCAGATGTTAGGATGCTATGTGAGAAAGTTCATCTAACAGTTTAGAAACCATCAGTAGATTGAAAGATCTCTGATGTTCCTGCTGAATCTGTTTTATGAAGAAAATGATCTGTTATATCTTTAACTCAGACTGACTGAGGAAAAGACTGTTCATGAGAAGGAGATCCAGGAGATCAGGTCAGTGTTGTTCAGGTTCTGTGTTTACATGAGACAATGATGTGTATGAGTTATTATTTTAAACATAAATTGCACTTCATCAAGCCTGATATGAACTTTAGATAAGATTACTTATAATCCTATTATTTTTCTTGGAAAATATTGCCTCCTTTACAGGTCTGATTTAGCAGAAAAAGAACAGCAAGTGAAATCAGGAAATGAAAGGTAAAACCTGAAAGAAAACATAACAAAACCAAAAATATTTTAATTCTGACTTTCTTAATCCATACTATAGATCTAGTTTTACTCGCAAATTATAAAACACACTGCATTACTGTGATGTCCCAGCAACATTTGTGTTATGAGAAGTTTTTATTTGTCATATTCAGACTGACTTAAGCAAAAATATCCCATGAATTGAATTCCAAAAGATTATATTTTGTCTTTGTTTTCCATGGGATATGTTATTATGCAATAGTCAGCCACACCCATACCTCCTCTCAGACTCCAGCAGACTGACTACTGACCAGCTCTCCACCTAACGGGTCCAAAAAGCCTCTAACTCCTGAGTATTACTACAGATGAGAGTGTAGAGGACATTCTGTTTAAGCTGGGAGCGAGAAAGATGCGTCTAGACTCTAACTACCTTCAGATCCTGAAGTTATGACCTTTTACAGTTAATGAAACAGCCCTTTGACTAGCCTGCAGTTGTCTGATTTCAGAAACCACTCCTGTTAACGGTAGCTCTTTCTCTATTAATAACGTTCACTTGTTACAGTGATCCATGATCCTGGTGAATTGCCCCCTAATTCACTAGGATCATGATCATTGATTTTATATTAACCAGAAGAATTTACCTTCAATTGATTCAATTAATTTAACTGTCCACAGCATCAATTAGACTTTAATATTTTATTAGCAAGCTTTAGCAGGGGAAAATGACATACAGCTTCTTCAATCAAAAAAATCATGAGATTAATATAAATTTAAGGAATTTAGAAATCACACCTCCTTCCAGTCCCTAAACTGTGTTACTGATCTAAATGAGAGGCTTTGGGATGCAGATCCACTCGTCCCCAGATGTTGAGTTGAGTTAGGCAGCAGAAACTTTAATATCCATGGTCGGAGACCTGTCTTGTCATGGCAGAACCCTTTTTTTTAGAGTAGATCCAAAGTTGAACTGGTGAGTATCCTCCGTGAACTCAGTTCTTTATCCACGTGTGGTCTTTGTCTATCCTCCATGTCCACTGCAGCATAGTTGAAATCTTTAGGGTTGAGTGTAGGGCAGTTGTCGAATCAGAACCCAGGTTGTGGGTAAAAGGATCTTGTTCCCTTCTCAAGCAGTGTGAAGTCTTCACCTTCCCGGGGTGTCAAAGCGTAGCCCTCAGATGATCCTGCATCTTCGTGTGGTCTTGACTCGAACACTGCGGAACAAAGAACCCTGGTTCTTTTTTCTTATGTGTTTTTATACTCTCTGCATTTTGGTTGTGTATGCATCAGTGGCTTACACAATCTTCTTTGCACAATTACCATTCTTCCCTTGGCGTCATACGCCCTCGGTTAACTGCCGACCTTTACTTAACTAGACTCTTGAACTTCCTTTTTCTTTGAAACACTCTTGCTGCGATTCTTATCAGCACTCAACCTTCTGGTCCTCTATGCATTTCACAATACTTCCTGTCTCTTCTGTGCTCACAGTTCTTCCTCCCCACCCAGCCTCTGGTTGTGACACAGTAGAAGATATTTCTATTTTACTTATACTCATTACTTTTTTGACCTGTTTTCTGTGTGTCCTGGAAAGATCTCAATCAGTCCCAACCAGGTTTCACGACAGATATTAACTAAATTATGATTACTGATGATAAACTGTAGAAATATTGTTGATGTCTATGTCAAAATTTCAAAGCTCTTATGAGGTCATTTAAACTTTAACTGTCTTTTTCATAGTTTCTTTGAGAGAAGGAAAATGGAAGAAGAACTGGAGTCAGTCAAAGATATTGTTCCCACAATGTGAAAGAGACAATAATTATAAGTATTGCAATCTGAGCGTCTCAGTTCACCTGGGAATTTACTCCAAAATCTGTGTAATTAAGGGTTCAAATGATATGTGTATCACAGACTGACTGAAACGACATCACTTCAGAAGGACCTTCGTCAAATTCGGTAAGTTCAGAGTTAGTTTTATATGACCCACATACAGGATGTTACGGCCCCCCCCTTTGTAAGGAGGAGGGGAGTAACACGGCAACCATAAAAACTTGACAGAGTCCAAGTGAGTGTTGTAAAGAGAAGGGATTTATTGATGACAAAAATCCCAGAAGGCTCACACAAACTGTGGGGGAGAAAGGGGCGGTTAGGTGGTGCCAAATCAGAGAAAATAATACAAAACAGGGCCTGACTACCGACTGTGCTAAAGAAATAAAAGAAAACAAAAACCCTGCCTATCTAATCTAACAAAAGTTTCCACCAAAACTTTACATGGGGGGCACCCACCTGCTTACCTAGTGTATCTAACAGAAAAAACACCTACGTGATGAAATGTACAAGGTACCCCAAACTTGCCTCACCCTCTAACTCCCACCACAAACCTTCACACAAAGAAACAAGTTATGCGTCAAGTAACAAAGCCAGATCCCAGCTCTCCCCAGCTGGGCTGCTTAAATAAGGCCTCCCTGGATGCTGATTGGCCCATGGTTGATGAGAATCAATCAGGGGAGATTGACACCAGCTTTCCCTAGTACCTGTAAAGAGACAAAGGAGGAGGGGAAAGAGAAACAAACAGCCTGGCAGGCATGTAACACAGGATAACTACTTGAGGTTCCTGAGATTTAAGGATTTAGTGCCTTGGTAATACATACAGTGGGTTATTTTCTTTTTTCAATTGGAGTTCAGTTGCTGTAAACACGAAGCTTCCTAAAGCACTTTGTTATGGCCACTCTTGCACCACAAAAGTCCACAATAAAAATCCCAGAGTCGTCTTTCAGGAGGAGGTTTTCGACTCACTCAGAGAAAAACTAAAAAGCACTCGCAGAGACTTTTCTGATTTCAAAGGGTTTTTTTTATTTATTAAAATAACAAAAAATAATGTCGGAGTTGACTTTAAATATAAACATTAATTTGTGGTACAAAAACCTTTTCACTCCTCACTCCTTCACCAAACAATCAGATCAGCCCCAGCAGCTGTTTCTGCCTGTTAATCACTGCAGGAGGCTGACTGACCAGGAGGAGGGTCTAAGCAAAACAAATAAATAAATACATAAATAAATATAGATCTGCCATTCACAAAACCTTAGAGCTGTGAAAAATAATAATTTAGCAAAAAATAAATTAATCTAATTCTTAGTAGGCTCCAACACACTGTCATTCTGTTAAATGTCATAATGAATTATTTTATTTTTCTGAAAATAAGACAAATAATAATATTTTTTCATTCTTCAGATCTGACCTCAAACAAAAAGAAGAAGAACTAAAATCAGTTCATAAAAGGTATTGTTCACAGACAAGTTAACAGAATATATTTCATCTTCAGATTTCAGGAAAAGTGGAAAAGTTCATCTCACTGTTTGCTTGTTTAGTGATGATAAATGATGTTCAATGCATTATAAGTTCTCTGATGTTCCTGTTGAATCTGTGTTATGAAGAACATGATCTGTTATATCTTTAACTCAGACTGACTGAGACTCAGATTTCTCATGAAGAGCAGATCCAGAGGACCAGGTCAGTGTTGTTCAGAATCTGTGTTTACATGAGAAAATGATCCAATAAATTATCATGGACTGTTACAACTTACTAGATCTAAACAATAACAGTTACAATCTTATGAGTAAATTTAATACTTTATCAAATGACATGTTTTTGTGTTCTTTACAGATCAGCTTTGGGACAGAAAGAGGAAGAAGTAAAATCACTGAACCGAAGGTAGAACTTGAGCTGCTCATGTGACAACACTGAGTTTTCAATATAAATTATTTTGTTGGTGAAAATAAAAAATGTGAGTTACATTGAGATTTGATTGAAAATTTTATTGTCCTGTGTTTTGAGGGGGATTGTGTTTGGATTGTTCACTTATATTAAACCCAGATCACTGTTTACATCTCTACAGTTTGACAGACATGGAGAAGAACCTCATAGAGACAAAGTATGTAATATTCTCTTCACCTTTTCAAAGTTTAAATATTGTAACAGATGTAAAACATAAATTAGTTTAGGTCAGCAATGCTACATCCTGAAAGTTTCTCATCTGATAAGAGTTATAATATCAATAGCAACGTCAAAACTTTTATTTTGTTACAATAACTTGAGACATTTTTCTTCAACAGAGCCTCTCTGAAACGAAAACAGCAAGAACTCACTTCTTTCAAAGACAGGTGCTTTAAAATAAATACATATATAAATTTATATGTCGATATACATACATAACATTTATTTTCTCTCACAGAATGGCACGACAGCTCTTTGTTTCCAAACCTGCTGCTGAAACTGATGACCTTCACAAGCAGAAATTAGAGGAAACAATGTAAGATTTATTTAGAAATTAAACTGAATGAAGGATTTTGTGTAGTTTTCCTTATTAGTTATATTTTTCAAACATTTGTGTTACTTATAAATCAAAACGTTCAGTTCAGTTACCAAACTGAACTGAACATTTCAACTGAAAATGATTTTTCATTCCTTGATGGAAAAAATAACCTTAGCTGGTTCTATGTGTTTATTGTTAAGCATTTCTTTAGTGGATAATGTTTTGGTGCTTGAATAAATTTAGCCAAGTCTTAGCTTTGCAAAGACAGAATCCATGAAACAGTTAAGTAACTCGTACAGATGGTACAGTCGATCCCAAAGGTTTTCATACACTGAGCAGATTTAGGTTTAAAGTTATCTTTGATTTTCACCAACATGTTTTTTTCTACCTGCAAATAATGTTTTGGAGTGGCCATACCAGTCACTGGGGAGTGTGTCTGAATGTGGGGGAAGAGCTAAAGATAAGGGTGATGGAAAATAAATGTTCCAACTTCAAAGATTTAGAAATTTTGAATACCACCAAAAAAGGCAAAGGTTTGTTGAGTAATTTTAGGAAGGATTTGATTTCTGTATTGTCCAGAACTATGTTTTAATTGACAATGTGGGTGTAGATTTTAAGCTTGTAATTTTTAAAAACAGCAATTCATGTGACACTGTGTTATTAGTGATAACAATGGCCTCCTTTGAAATATATCACCTTTTATAAGAGAAAAAGATGGAGGCTCATTTTTCAAAGCCTTGTTTTCAACATGTTTTTCATTTTCATAAGTGGATGGAGTAATGTAACATTTTAAACTCTAGTGACAGGCTAAGTAACACATTTTTTATGTTTGTGCAACATTACAAACACCTCAGGTGTTTGTAATGTACAACCTAAGTTTCAGAACTGATGAAGCATCTTGCATGTCAGATGTAATGTCTTCAAGATGAAAAGTTAATTCCAGTTGCCTTTAACGCTCAACATTATCATGTCCTGGATGACAGATATTTTACACAAACAGTAAAATGTCACATTTACATGTAAATAATGTCATTTTTTTATACAGGCAAAAGAAAATCAATCATTAGGCTAAAGCATAGGCAATCAGATACCCTGAATATTTCAATATCTCTAGAATAAACAAACCTGGTTGATCTCTATTACTGTTACATTATTTCAATACCTGTTGAGAGAGACTTGACTCATTTACTGTCATAATCTAACTTCTTGGTTTTATCTAAAACTGCCAGAGGTATTGAATTTAGAAAAGTCACATAGACTGACATTTTTGCACACAATTTCCCTTTCTGTAGGTCTGCTCTAAGAAACAAAGAAGAAGAATTGATATCAGTGAAGAAAAGGTAAAATTCACACAACAAGCTGAAAAAAACTATTCTCATTTAAACACTTCTGTAATTTTATGGCAGAATCTGTGTTGTGGAGATTTAATTAGTCGATTCTTTACCAGGCTTACAGAAACAAAGGCATCACATGAAAATGATCTTTATCATATGAGGTAATAATTGTTCCATCTTCCCAATAGAACACTATAAGGGTTGAAGAGATTTCAGTGTATATATGTATGCATGCAGTCACATGCCATTTTGTAACAGAGATGAAGTTCATCTCATCCCGACTTACTGGCCCATAATGTTCTTGTGTAGCGAGAAACATTACAGAGAAGCCGAGACACAAGTTTTTTACTATATGAATAAAAAGGTCACAAAACATTTATTGCTTTTTATGTGAGGAGTGATATTAACATAAATTTGTTGCTGCCAATTAGATATGGGGGAGTGTGCATGAAAAATTGTGAAAAAAATGGTTAAAGAACAGAGAGTTCTGGAATTAGTTTAGAAAGTTTGATTTAGGTCTGAACAGATTTTAAGGAATTGTCATGAATTTCTTAACAGATTTGATTTAAGAGAAAAAATATCAGTACAAGTTCGACCAGTTAAAATGCTTACATTTTCCTCAGATATGTCTAACATAACTGAATGCATAGTTTATTATTAGTTTGTTTATTTAAAAACTATTTTTCTCCTCACAGATCTGAATTGAAACAAAAAGAGGAAGAAGTGAAATTCCTTAAACAGAGGTATAAGATATGTAACTATCACATTTACATTCAGTTATTTCAAATTTGCATTATGTCATTTAAAAGTTGCAGATTAAACAGTGAGGAGTGACTCATGATTGCTTAAAGTACATTTCTAAAAAGTGTTTCCCTGTCCAGCATGTTTGCAATTTGGAAGTGATCTTTAGAGCTTCACTTGTGATCAAGAGCACAAACAACTGAAAGAGGAAGATTTTAGCAGAGAATTAATTTATTCAAGGAAAAAAATAAATAAATTCTCTATGCAGCAATTTGCAATCCAAATTAGTTTGGTTTTGATTCCTTGAGCTAACCTCACCTGCAAAGGAATAAGACACAAAGAAGTATCTTAATATATCACTTGTTGTGAATAAGCACAATATAAATTAACTTGGTGACCTTCTACCTTCAGTTCTGACTTTTATGTAAATGAAGATAAATATTATATTTACTTAAAGACTGCAGGAATCAGCAGATGTGAGATCCAGCCCCCAGCGTTGTAACCCACAAGGATGTGAACACAAAGAAAGGTTTGATTTTGTAAAATTAACTATAAAATATAAATAACCAGTAATTAGAGAACTGATGATTTTAATAATTTGTATATTTTGACACAGTATGACACAGATGGAGGCATTTTACAAAAAGAAGCTCAATGAGGCCCGGTAAGAAATTTCCTGATATTTTGTGTAGCCACTTACTAGCTAATATTTAACCTAATGATTTATCTCTGCAGGTCTGTATTCAGTTGCTAATATTAGATCAGCGTTTGTGTTCCTGAAAGCTTCATTCTTTCCTCCACAGATCTGAAACAGCCAAAAAACAGACAGAACTGAAATCAGTGAAAGACAGGTACAGAAAGATGAAACTTCATATTTACTGACCTGCTGCATAAATAACCAAACTGTCTGACAGGCTGGCAGCTCAGGTAGCAGCTTCACTGAAAACAGGAGACACTGAGAGCATGAACAACCCGGTCAGTAAAACCAGACTGACTGAGATGTACGACAACCTGAAGCTGCTGCAGTGGCCAAAGGTCAAAGATCAGCTGAAGTCCAGGAAGAGGAACCCAAAGGAGGCCAAAGATCTGATTCAGGTAGATCTGATCTCAGGACGTTCACCTGCTGGGTTTAATGTCACTGTGGGTCTCATTTGATATTGAACTGATGTTTGTAGAAAACATTTGGAAATGCATCAGATGAAATGAAGAGAAGGAGGCAGCAGATAGAAGAAATGTTCCAGCAGTCAGAGTCCAGCAGTGGACCGACTCCTCAGAAGGTAACTGGACTGTAGAACAGCTTTCTGCACAGAATCACTAAAGCAGCATGAGGAAGTGTGTGAGCAGCAGCTTCCTGTGTTCCAGGTTAAAGAGTACAGACAGCTAACAGTTCAGAACCTGCAGATGGCGCTGTTCCACACCAACAAAGAAGAACTTCTGAAGGTAAGTTTACAGATGATCCAGTTTGGAAACCAAACAGAACAGATACATTTATAGCTCTAATAGATCAATCAGTGTGTAACATTGAACATTTCCTCCTCAGACTGGTTTCCCAGAATGTTTAGATGAATTTCCAGAGGAAGTGAAGGAGGATCTGAGACCTCTGACCTCTGAATGCTACTGGCTGAGCTGCTTGATGGCTTTAAACAATCCTCCTCTTCAGCCGGACTGGAAGAACCATGTTCCTGGGTTTGACTCCTGGGATATTTTTCCTCGAGAAATCAAACTATCTGTCATGTAGAGGAAGCAGATACAGAAATGAAGAAAACAGATTCTGATATCACTTCTTGTTTCTTAATTATTTTATTGTTGGTAATGGTTTGTGTGGGGTTTCCTTTGTAAAACAACATGAATGAAGAAATTATAATAAATGGGGAATTCTTTCAAATTTGAAAGTTCTTACAGGGAATCAGAATGTTATATTTTGACAATGCCTGCAGTTGTTTCTGTGTCTTTAATCTCTTTCTTTACTCTGAAAAAAAATCCAGTGAAGATCCTCAGAAAACACGTTAATTTTATAAACCTTCTGATGCGTTTTTTTGCTTCATCTGCACTCAATGAGCATGAATATTTAATGTAGCAGATGGAATTATCTCAAAACAAAGAAACCACCTAAACCCGTCCCGAGCACATTTAGTTTTTATTTTTAAGTAATAGTGACAAAGTTTGGTTAGAGTAGCAACCAATCACAACTTGTTTCTTGTTTCCAGTTTTCTTTTTTGATTCAGCTATTGTTACATAAGATCCTAATCAAAATGTACAGAATCATCCATCTTCCTTACACCCTTGTCCCTTAGTGGGGATGGGAGGGCTGCTGGTGCATCTCCAGCTAACGTTCCGGGCGAGAGGCGGGGTTACCCTGGATGGGTCACCAGTCTGTCGCAGGGCAACACAGAGACACACAACCATGCACACACACAGGGCCAATTAACATCATGTTTTTGGACTGTGGGAGGAAACCGGAGTACCAGGAGAAAACCCACACATGCACAGGGAGAACATGCAAACTCCATACAGAAAGACCGGGGCTGGGAATCGAACCCAGAACCTTCTTGCTGCAAGGCAACAGCTCTACCAACTGCCCCACTGTGCAGCCATATACAGAATCAGAATCACAAAAATCATTTTACTTGTTTATTCAATTCCAATCTTCATATATTTTCACATTGCCTATTTCACAAATATTGTCCACTTGTCACAGTAGAGCAATGAAGCACCGCGGCGCATCAGGTCAAGAGTCAAACAGTTGGATTTGAATGGGATCATTAGGGATCATTAGTGCAAGTGAGAGGTTAAAAGACGGCAAAGCAGTTGAATAATCACTTAATGGGTGTTTTCCGAACCTATGAGAATAATTTATTCTCTTATGTCATTTTCTTTTAACATAAGAAAATAAATCGGAATTCACAGAAAACATAACCAAAAAAATAACTTAAAAACTTAAAATGAATTAACTAATTTGGAAATACCTTTTTAACATAATAAACCTGTAAATGATGCGAAAAACAAAGGAAAGAAAACTAAGACATGTGAAACAGCCTGATGAGGCTCCAAACTTTATTATCTTCAAATTGTTTGTGACTGAAACAAAATTTGTGCTGCAGTAACCAGCAGTAACATTTGACTCATTCTAGCCAAATCTGAAGACCTCAGGAGGGGAACTTTCCTTCATTGACTGCAGACTCTTTTCTGAAAAGATCATTTTAAAAACTGAACAAACACGGCAAAGCAGGGATAAAAAGTGTGTTATACCACTGATATAACCAGCTTACTTTTCAAATTATCTTTACAAATATGAACGCTCTTATGTATCAGAAAGATCAGAAAGCTGATCATTTGTCATCAATTTTAAATTGATATGTTTTCCTCTGAAGTTTTGATTCCATGATATTTTAAAAGAAGAATTTTAAACTTTAGGAAACAAAGATCAGTTTGATGACTCTTCTTTATTACTGCGTTGTAAAACAAACAAATTCCCCTCCAGGGAGTTTCTAGTTTGATTCACAGTGACTTCTCTGGAAACGCAAAAGAATAATAAAAACAGGAATGCCAGAAACTGGATCAGCAGGTCCATCAAACAGATGTTTCCTTCTCATATTTGCCAAACCTGAGATCAACTCTGCATGTTCTGAATGAAACATGCAGGGGTAAAAAGTGTGATCAGAGAGGAAAATATTTTTCTACTGCCGTCTGAAGAAATGTACCACAACCAACCAAAACAACTAATCAGAGTCAGGATGAGGATCTTTGTGTTGTCAATCTACCTTGTAAACTTGCTGCTAAATGTGCTTATCCACTGTTTACAGGGGCCATGCTAACTAGCCTTAGCATTCATGAGAGGCTCTGCTGAGGAGGAGAAGCTGCTGTGTAGCAGGGTGAAAGGGGTGATGGGTGCAGTGAGAACAGAAGAGAAGAAATCAATAAAAAATGACACAATTGAATTAAACTATATGCAAGACCTTAACAACATTAATGAACAAACCATAAATTATCAGAATGAATACAAATGAAAAAGCAAAAAACACCAGCAGATCTGAGATCATAACAGAAAAACTGCCAGAATAATTATTGGATCAACTAAATACGATACAATATGGCTGCAGAATTTGTGGACTGAAGGTGTTTCAAACGTTTGGGAGACAAAGATGAGTTTGATGACTTCATCAATGTTCATTAAAATACCATTCTCCCCTCAGGTGAGTTTCTGTTTCTATTTCTCTGGAAACAAAAATAATAAGGAAAGAACACCAGTAACTGAATCAGCAGGTTCAGTACATTCACACAGTGATGTTTGCCAAGTTCTGTTTCAACCCAAGCAAATGAGAAAACAATTTTTCTTACACTGAAAGAGTCTATAGAAAATACAGTCTGTAGAAAATACAGAGTCTGTAGAAAATACAGAGTCTGTAGAAAATACAGAGTCTGTATGTCACCACATAAGAGTTCAAGTGATTCATGTTAATCAGTTACAAATAATTTTGCTCTAAAAACTTCGGTGCAGATTGATGAGTTGTTGTTTTAACAACTACAGTCTCAACCCTCCAGCAGCATCATCATCATCAGCAAACCATCAATAGCAATATTTTACATCAGGGAAAACATAGGCTGCATTTGTTGTGCATCGTCTTTAAATTATGATAATATGGTATGATTGGATTCTACATGAGATTCTTGATTAATATTGGTGTTACCTTGTAAGAGATTTTATGATTTTGCTCTATGTATCTCCTTTTAACTCTGAGCACAGTCCTGATCCGGACTCTGATCCAGAACAAGAAGATAGTTTTAACTATCGCAAAAACAGGAAACCTCCTGAAAATGTTATTAAACCACCAACATTCCATGATCTGCGAATTGAAGTACATAGAAACACCTGCAGAGGGCGCCCAGAACTCAGCCCAGACTGGAGGACATGGAGAATAAACAGCTCCATTAAATCTATGTACAATTATACAATAACAGGTCACTAGCAAATGGAAAACAAGAGTATTCAAAATAAAATAAAGAATGTTTTGATTGAGAAAATATCTAGGACATTTTTATCTACTAGTATGCTCCCAAATTGCACAACATGAGTGAAACAACATTGAATCAATGTCAGGCAGAAACATTGAATCTACGTTGAAGCCTGGCATTGAAACAGAATTGAAAGTGGTTGGTGACTTACATGTTGAATCAGCGTTAAGGTTTCACCCATAACTGACATTATATCAATGTTGATTCAAATATCATCTCAATGTGGATCTGCATCCATATTTGGGTTGATTTTATATTGAATGAAAGGAATCAATGTTGATTCTTGTACATTTTTTGGTCTTATAGGTCGAAATCATAACATACCACTAAAAGTTTTTTCACTGGTGTTAAACAGACAAATTTATTGGCAGACGATGGGTATTATGTCATTCAAGATTATCTTATATTAACATATTTCCAAAAATATATGTACATAAGGTAAACAATGACAACATGGGAATGATATAACATTTTATTTAAGAAAAGAGAGACAAATCTTTAAACATATTTGACTCTATTTTGAACAACAGTCTTGTCTATGGAAGAACAGCATCCATGAGGTTAAGCTTTGTACTGTATGAACCAGGGAAACAGTACAAGTTGCGGTAACCCAAGTTTGACTCTGGTTGGCGTCACTTTGGTTCCTTGCGATGCCTTCCTCTCGTTCTGATGGGTAATGAAGCCACTTCTTGACAGTTTTGCTGCAGTCAGTCGGCTTTGGGTCAAACTGCAGAGCAGCTGCTGGAAAACATGAAAATAAAAAGCATAAATTTGAAACTGAACACAAAACTGTTTGATGTTACAGATCTTATTTATGCAATCAAATCAAAAATCAAATCAAATTTTATTTGTATAGCACATTTCAGCAGCAAGGCATTTCAAAGTGCTTTACATCATTAAACACAAAAATATAGAGTCATGCAACATTGAATCAAAAATCAAAAAAGCATCTGACAAAACAGAAAGGGGGGGGAGACTCTAAACCCACACCCCTTTTCTCCCTAGTGATTGAACCCGGGTTGGGATTCAAATCCCAATTATTGTTTATGGGAGATGTTCTTCAGGTGATAGAAGGCCGACTTTGTGACTGTCTTAATGTGGCTCTGAATGTTCAGGTTAGAATCCATCCATGAGGCCTATAATATGAAAACAGTCGCCAAACATTGTTTCTATTTTTTTTAAAACTGTAAACAGCTCCAGTGTCATACATAATAAACATTTTTTATAAATTCATGAAATAAAACTGCTTTTCTTTCCAGTTCTGTGATCAGACACTGTAGCTGTTAACTCTGTAGAGTCAAACTTTACTTGCAGTTCCACTTTATGTTCTTTGATACTTGTAGGATCTTGTAGTGGAGCTTTAAGTGAAGCTACTTTTTCTAACCCCCAATCATCTGCATATTTTGGATCTTTGCTTTCAGTCATAAAGAAGCTAATGGTTATCATTTTATGACTTATATCTGAAACATTAAGGACATACCCCTTGGTTTCATCTCAACCCACATTTTCATCATCTTTCATCTTCTTCCAGAAGTATTTTAAAATGTCCTGACACCACTCCTTTCCATCAGCTTTGTCTTTCTTCTCTTGCTTATATCTACTCATCAAACTTTTCCAACATGTCCAGTAAAGGGACTTTTCCGAGATGCCACTATCTTTGGGTTTCTTCCAAACTCTGCAGCTCCTTTCAAGATCACTTCCTGAGGTCTAACAGGACACAGGATTTTATATTCTTCTCCAAACTGTTTTTTAATGTGCTGACGCAGTATTTGACTTTCTGTGAACCCTCCCCTCCCCCCCACTAAGACAGTGAATTCAATGTTGAGATGTTTTTTTTATATATATTTC